ACTATTTTATTTGCTTTTTGATGCCTTTGAATTTTCTTTGTCATTTGTTTTATTGCCAATGCTTTCACTAGTCGTTGGTGAGAGGGTTAGTTTGAATTATCTATCTTGCTACACCCAGAGGCAGAAATACCTAGTTTATATTTTTCATATATGGCTTTACTATCCTGTTCCTTTTCTTTGATTTTGGAGAGATTCTGTTGCTGTGCTGTCTAATATGGTAGCTCCTAGCCACATTTAATTGTTGAGCACTTACAGTGTGGTTAATTTGGGGGTACCTGAGTGCCTTAGTCTATTAAATGTCTGACTCTTGATCTCAGCTCAGGTCTTGATCTCAGGGTCATGAGTTCAAGCCCCCTTTGAAAAAAATGTGGCTAGTTTGAATTGAGATGTGCTATGAATGTAAAATATTTCATTAATAAGTTTTATATTGATCACATGTTGAAATGGAAATATTTTGAATGTATTTGGTTAAATAAAACATTAAACTTAACTTGTTTCTTTTTACTTTTTAATGTGACTATTATAAAGTTTAAATATACATACACACACACACACACACACACACACACACACCTTGCATTTATGGCTTGCATTATATTTCTGTTGGATAGTATAGCTATGTAGAAAAGTTGTTGAGAACATATGCTCTGTAGCCTGGATTTAATTCCTGGCTGTACTTTTTACTAGAAGTGTAATCCTGGGCTTTTTAAAAAAAAATGTCTTTTGGGGGACGCCTTGGTGGCTCAGTGGTTGAGCATCTGCCTTTGGATCCTGGGGTCCGGGATCAAGTCCTGCATTGGGCTCCCTCTGGGAAGCCTGCTTTTCCCTCTGCCTGTGTCTCTGCCTCCCCCCCCCCATGAATAAATAGGTAAAATATTAAAAAAAAAAACTTAAAAATGTCTTTAATTTTCTGCCAAATGAGCATAGTAGTAATATCTGCTTCAAAGGTAAGCTGTGGAGGTAAAAAAGATGAAGGTAAATACATAGTACAGTGGACAGCTTATAGTAAGTGTTAATAGAAATTTAGCCATTATTTTTGTTTTTGTTACTTTAGTGTCAAATTTTATAGTTCAGTGGATGTTTTCTTTCTTTTAACATTTTCCTCTCTACCCTTAGCAATAGAATTCCAGACACTATAATTTGGGGACATAAACATGTACAAATTCTGTAAGAGAGGAAGAATGTCATAAGCAAATGGTCATTAGCTGCAGAAACTTTAATGCTTCTCCAAGATAATACTGCCTAAAATATTTTGTGGACTATGTGGCAACTACATAACCAAGCTTTACAACTGTAGTTCAGAAAGTAATTGCACAGCCAAGAATTGGTGGTATGTTAGAAATAGTATTGTTCCAGGACTTGAAAACTGGACACTAGACCTAATTCTGCCACTGTGTTCATCTGGAGTCCAGTTTCCCTCTTGTAAAATCATAAGATTGTATTAGATGATAACATATGCCTCTATGTTCTATGATTTTTCCATAGTAATGCTTGCATGTCACATATTTTAAACTTACAGTACAGTTATCCTTAGGTTTTCTAGTTCACATAAGAGTGACAGAAGGTTAAAGAAAGTATAGAGTCATGGCAAGATGGAAACACAACTTTTTTTATTCACCCAGAATATCTCACAAGATACGTTAGGTTGTAGCTAAACTGTTTTTTCCAGAATTGTTTTTAATTTTGCTAGAATAAAATATCTTAGATTATATTAAGGTACCATATATACGAATTATGGTTATAGTTTAATGGGAAGATTGCTGGACTTTTAAGAATACGTAGGTTTTCTTTCTTTTTTTAATTTTTATTTATTTATGATAGTCACACACACACACAGAGAGAGAGAGAGAGAGAGAGAGAGAGAGAGGCAAAGACATAGGCAGAGGGAGAAGCAGGCTCCATGCACCGGGAGCCCAACATGGGATTCGATCCCGGGTCTCCAGGATTGCGCCCTGGGCCAAAGGCAGGCGCTAAACCACTGCGCCACCCAGGGATCCCAATACGTAGGTTTTCATAAAAATCCTAGAAGAGAGCACAGGCAGTAATTTTTCTGATATTGGCCATAGCAACATTTTTCTAGATAGATCTCCTAAGGCAAGGGAAATAAAAAAATAAACTATTGGGACTACATCAAAATAAAAAGCTTCTGCACAGCAAAGGAAACAATCAACAAAGCTAAAAGGCAACGTACTGAATGCAAGAAGATATTTGCAAATGACATATCCAATAAAGGGTTGGTATCCAAAATATAAAGAACTGATACAATTCAACACCCCGAAAACAAACAATCCAATTAAAAGTTGACAGAAAACATGAACAGACATTTCTTCAAAGAAGACATCCAGATGGCCAACAGACACATGAAAAAATATACAACATCACTCATTATCAGGGAAATGTAAAACAAACTACAATGAGATGTCACCTTACACTTGTCAGAGAAATCAATTATCTTGTCAGAATGCTAAAATCAAAAACACAAGAAATAAGCACTGGTGAGGATATGGAAAAAAAGTGAATCCTCATGCACTGTTGATGGGAATGCAATCTGGTGCAGCCACTGTGGAAACAGTAAGGAGGCTCCTCAGAAAGTTAAAAATAGAACTACCCTACAATCCAGTAATTGCAATACTGGTTATTTACCCCAAAAATACAAAAGCCCTAATTCAAAGAGATACATGCACCCCTGTGTTTATAGTAGTAGTATTTACAATAGCTAAATTATGGACGCAGGCCAGGTGCCCATAGATAGATGAATGGATAAAGATGTGATACACACATACCAGAATATTATTCACCCATTACCAAAAAAAGAATGAAATCTTACCATTTGGAACAACATGGATGGAGCTAGAGAGTACAATGCTAAATAGAATAAGAGAAAGACAAATACCATATGATTTCACTCATACGTGGAATTTAAGGAACAAAACCAGCAAAGGAGAAAAGAGAAACCTAGAAACAAACTATAAACTAGAGAACAAACTGATGGTTACTAGAGGGGAGGGAGGTGGGAGAATGGGTTAAATATGTGATGGGGATTAAGGAGTGTACTTGGGATAAGCACTGGGTATTGTATGGAATTGTTGTATTGCTGTCTTGTACGCAGGAAACTAGTATAATACTACATGTTAACTATGCTGGAATTAAAATGAAAACTTAATAAAAAAAATACCCGGGTTTTAATTTAACTAAGCTTTGCTACTAGATAAAATTAAGTAAATTCTAAGCAAGTTTTCTTTGATCTGATTTTTCTATAAGGTAATAATGTGGAATGTAAGAATATAGGATGTAATACTTCACCCAGAGTAGGTACTTGAGAAATTAAAGAAGTTAAAACATTCTGTCTTATTATACAGAACTTGCATTAGAATAAGTGGAAGTGCAATAGGGGAGAAGAATTTAAAATATTACACAAATATTAAAGTATATTCTAAAATATATGGTCAATATTATAGAGATCTATAATTTTTCAGAAGCATCATACTCAGATCGTTCATGCAAGTAAGTTCTATTTAATTGTCAAACAATATTTTTGGTTTTTATGTTTTTCAAAGTATAGGCCATTGGAAAAGATGGAAAACTCCCCACGTCATTCTGTGAAGCTAGCACAACCCCAAACCTCTTATAGTGAGTTTAAATCTAGTAAAGATAATATAGACACACACACATATAGACACACATGTTGAAAGTCCAAATAATTTATTAGCTAATAGAATCCAAAAAATTATATATGTGATCAGGAAGAGTATTTCTCAGGAACGTAAAGATGGCTCTATATTATGAAACCTACCGATAACTCGTATCAGCATATTAGAGGAAAATTTATGATTATGTCAGTAGATGATTCTAAAAAGAGGAGGAAATAATTTGATACAAATCCAGTAACTTCACTCAGAAATGCAATTAAAGCAACAGTGAGATAACTATGTAGTACTGGCAGTATGTGGGAAAACTCATACTTTGGTGGTAATATAAATTGTTACTTAGGTAACAATTTACTTTAGCTACTGATAATAGCTATTGAAGTAAAGCACATGATCCTTTGAGTACTCTCACTTTTGGGAATCATTTCTACAAAATACAGTACAATGTATATACTATAATACTAATATATACTGTTATGGTGTATTAGGATATATTCAAGGACTCCTGTTTTGGAAACAACATGCATGACTATTGATCACTTGGAAGGGTCACTGAGGGATCCCTGGGTGGCGCAGCGGTTTGGCGCCTGCCTTTGGCCCGGGGCGCGATCCTGGAGACCCGGGATCGAATCCCACATCGGGCTCCCGGTGCATGGAGCCTGCTTCTCCCTCTGCCTGTGTCTCTGCCTCTCTCTCTTTCTCTCTCTGTGACTATCATAAATAAATAAAAATTAAAAAAATATATTTAAAAAAAAAGGAAGGGTCACTGAATAAATTATTATTTAATAAATAATATTATTTATTTAATAAATAAATTATTATTTATGCAGTGACCCTTTATGTAATTATACATCCATACCATGGAGTATAGTATACCCATGATGGTATTGTTACATCACTGGGGTGAGGAATAACAAATTATAGATTATCCTGCACAGTGTTATCCATTTCATTGTAAAAAGGAAAGTCTATATATGTTAATGTTTGCATAAGCATTGGGAAATGGGTAGAAGGACTGGGTTAAAAGAGGTGGTTGGATTGGTGAAGAGGGAAATCATTAAGTTTTTCTTGATATGTTCTACACTGTTTGGTTTATTATGAAGAGTGTTTGTTACCTTTGTAATAATCACATTTAATGAAGGAAAAAATGCTAAGTAAATTCAAAACATGAGAATATGAGTTCTTAGGCTCAATTTGGTTAAAGACATGAAAAACAGAAAAATGTTATATGTAGCTTTTGTTGTAGAGGACACTGGAAATCATTTCCATTCATGATCATTATCACAGATTACCTCTGAAAATAAAGGTATTCTAACAGATGGTGGCTTTAATGATTTTTTTTTTCTTTTATAGCAACTCCGTTCCAATATTCGAGAAATGGAGAAACTTTGTTTGAAAGTCCGAAAGGATGACCTAGTACTTCTAAAGAGAATGATAGATCCTGTTAAAGAAGAAGCATCAGCAGCAACAGCAGAATTTCTTCAACTCCATCTGGAATCTGTAGAAGAACTTAAGAAACAATTTAATGATGAAGAAACTTTACTACAGCCTTCTTTGACCAGATCCATGACTGTTGGTGGTAACGTACTAAGTCTTACTCTTGTTCATAGTAATGCAGTTCACCATCTTGTATAACTATTGCAGATACATAAGTTTCCAGGAATCACCTCCTATTTCAGTATGTTGAATTCTTGGACCCTGGGCATGCCTAGAAACTCATGTAGAGGGGATCCCTGGGTGGCTCAGTGGTTTAGAGCCTGCCTTCGGCCCGGGGCGTGATCCTGGAGTCCCGGGATCGAGTCCCGCATTGGGCTCCCCGCATGGAGCCTGCTTCTCCCTCTCTCTCTCTCTGTCTCTCTCTCTCTCTCTCTCTGTCTCTCTGTCTCTCATGAATAAATAAATAAAAATCTTAAAAAAAAAGAAATGCATGTAGATAAAGTTTCATGGGATAAAAATGTTGAAGCTATGCTATATAGAGTGGAACTTCTAAGTACCTATTTGTCTATATATTGAAAATTTCATCCTAATTTGCAGAGGATACCCCCTTCATGTCTGGGTGCAAGAGTAGCCTAACCAGGCATACCTCTTTCTTTGGCATTCTGATTTTCTTTCATAGGGACTTTAGATCTATCAGCTCAGTTTTCTGAATTTAACAGACAACATTAAAAAAAAAAAAAAAAAAAAGCCTGCATTGAGGGTCATGCTATCAGCTTTTGTGAAGTGGTACTCTAAGAAACGGTGCAGCAAAACTTTTCATCATATCTTTTTTAAGAAAGTAACTGATAATTGAACCCTGAAAAAAAATTCTTGGTTTAATACATAATAGTACTTGAAAGCAGTTGGTCTTTTTAAAATCTTATTAAAAGGATATTGGCTAGAATAACTGATAAGGTTTCTCTACTTGAGTTATTTACTGGAATGCTTACGTCTGAATTTTTTTTAACTCCCAAAAGCCAAAGTTTTTAACTGTCTTGGCTTCATTTTATAATTGCTCCCTTCATTTTTCCTTTTTTGTTTCCCTTTTAATTTATGCTACCTTGTTATATTTTATATGTTCTAAGATGCTTTAAATCTTAATAAATTATAAATTAGAATTTAAGAGATGTTATACCTGTCCAGTTTTCATCATTTCATGTATGTAGGAGGCTCTTATACCATTCCCTGTCTCCCAAACCAGATTATTTTTGACGTTTTATTTTCAGTGCTAATGATCCAGTAATTTATAGGGAAGTCAAAATTGAAAAATTAGAGGAAACATTTAAGCCATCATCCAGAGTTTCTTTGTAATCTTGCTTTTACTATATCCTGAGTACCTAGCACATAGTACATAGTGCTTGGCACATAGTAGACCATTAATAAATGTTTCATAAATGTGAGAGAATAAATACTTTTTAGAGGCAGTTTTGTAATTTCAGATGTACTGTACTCACTACACTCTGTGGATAACCAGTACCTAAAGTGTTATTTAGGATAGAAGGAGATGTTACCACTCAGCCCCTTGGTTGAAGAATATTTTGATAGTTTGTAGCTACTGTTTAAGTTATTCTGTGTGTATTAATCACCACCATAATGATGCAGCTAAATGCTGTTCATATCATTTAGTGTGAACCTGATACTTTATGTGCATGTATAGAGAAACTGGGCTTCCATGTGATTAAGCAGCTCTCTTATCTACCTAAACACTGTGACAGTTGTGAGGACAGTAACAACAATGAAGATATGTTGGTTTTTCTGGAAAGAATCGCTGACTACAGTCTCTTGCTATTTAGTTTTGAATTGCCCATCACCAGCAATTCCCTCGAAAACAAAAGGTTTGAGTTCTGAGGTTTCTCACATATGATACTATTCTAATACTTGGTCTAATTTACATTTTATTATTGCATTATTTGAGTTTCTGCCAGTGGGACTCAACAGACTTGGGTTTGGGCTCAACAAACTTGGGTTTATATATCATCAGAGGAACTGGGTGATTATGAGAAGAAGGCAGTTTACATAGTTTGCTGGCAATTAAATTTCTCTGTAGGAAAGCTGACAGGTATTAAAAAATATATATATTTACGCAACATTTGAGGAAGCACATGTACAGAGAAGGTGAAAAAGATTGAAGCAGAGCCAGAGAATGAGGAAGAAGAAATGACAAAATTCATTTTCCAACTCTTTTGATTCTTAGATTTCTCAATTCATGGAACATCAAATGAACTAAAGACCTAATCACTTGCCACTGGGAAAAACTACATGATTAAATTTCTATAACTAGTACTGATTTGATTGAGACAGTCATCTTATTTATAAAATACCTAATTTATACCTAAAACAATGTATAGAATTTCAAATTCCAAATGGTCTACTGGTGAGATAGTACTTTGACTTTGAATTCATTGCCAACATTAAGCAGTTAAAATGACCTGTCTCACCAAGTGCCTGAGAATTTCACCAAATGAGAAATTCTACTAGGTTGCCTTAAATCCAGAATTACTATTAACAAATAGTTGAGAGGATGGGAAAGAAGAAGAATAAAAACAAAGCAACTGATTTACATAAGACCTTAATAGTAGGATAGGAATTGGGTTTGTTCCATGTGTGGTCTTCTAGTTATGGACTCTTTTCTGCCATTCTACATGTTTTTATCCTGTGCTTTCTGGTTTTTCTTTGTTTTTGCTTTCAATACTCATTTAGTAGTGACAGCCAATACAGAAAAAAATGTGTTTGATTTGCATAGAAGTTAAATGCCTTAAAATACTTCTTCCTTTAAAAATTCAATCTGATTCTAAATAAATTGGTTGGAAATATCAGCAGAGATTCAGGAGCAATGTTGCCACATTTCCATGAGTGAGATCAAAATACAAAAATAGTTTTTCATTTACAGATAGAAATAACAAGTAGAATAGGGTGTTTTATGTTCTCTGGAGAGTAAAAGAAGCTTATTAAGTTTAGGGGGAAGCTGTGATGATTTTGCTGCTTCTTTTGTCCAGATTCTGAGAGTTCCTAAAGCAAATCTTCTCTGCCAATCTTGCTTGATCTGAGAAACTCCCTTCTGTCTCACTTGTGTGTCTAGTTTCATTTTTAGCATATTGCTTCCCACCAAGAGAAGTGATGAACCTACAAATTTGATTTGTATTTAGAAAGATATATCAAGTCATATAGAGTGAATCAGGGCTTCTCTCCATCTTTGTCTTTCTTACTCCCCTTCCAGCACATACAGTTCACCAGTGCAATAGGAATAGAATCTTATTACATTTTAAACAAATACTCAGAAAAGAAAAGAATCCAATCTTAAAACTGCTGGGAACTTCAGACCGCATATTGAATTTGATGAAATATCAGATTTTATCACAGGTATATATACATGTAGTGAACAGTTTTGTGAAGCACGTGGATAGTTTTGTATATTATTAAGAAGATATGTTTTCTGTTGGTTTTAATTTTCTTAAAAATACTCCTTAAGCCATGACTTAGAAGTCATTTTATTTGGTTAGATAGGTTGGTATTCATGATCAATAGATTAATTTCACTATTTTTAAACAGAACACGAAAAATTCAGGAAATGCCTTTGAATTAATTTAGATTTATAATGAAACTTTTCCTCACATATTGAAGTTTAGTGGAAATTTCTTCTGTGTTGTATTATAATTCTTTGAAGAATCATTGCCTTTCATGAAATACAGAGAGAAAGAGAATGTTTGGTTCTATAGAGAGAAGGGAAAAATCTTATGTCTGTGTTATTAGCTTCAAATAAAAATATCTTCATGTTTATTTGAGTTTGAAGTCAATAATAAGATTTTAAAACTGGAGTTTGAAAAACAGTGGGGAGTGATATATGTATTCTACATGTGTTCTACATTCTTTACACTTGCAGTTGTTTGCGTGTGGATGGAACTATCTTAGATTATTTCATCATATAAAACAATAGCAATTTGAGTTCTGTGCACAAGGTGAGTACTTCATTCTTCTTTCCTGCAGCTATAATCTGTCTCACTGTTTTCCCTCATCACGTCTGTAGCAGTTTCTAAAAGTTCAGAGTCAATAGATGTTCACTGAGGTAGTGATTTCTAAAATAAGCTGGAATAAATGAATTATGGAAGTTGTAGAAATTAAAGGATTTCTTTCTTAATTGTTAGTTATGCCTCAGATTGATTAGTGATGTTCAGAGTTGTAAGTTTACAGCAGGATTTTCCATGGAATAGAACAGATTTCTTTGTTCTAAGACTCCATTTGAACTAAGATGCATACGCAGTTTGGTTTCAAGTGAGACGTAAATGACTTAAACACTTCTTATTTTTTACCAGAGGAAATCTGTTAGGTTTACTTAAAATGCCAAACATTTCCCACTCCTTCATTTTTTAGATCAAGAATTTATGTATGACAGTCTCCCCTCATTTTGTTATATACCCTGGTATACTCCATTTAAATCCTCTATAATAGCATAAAGGTGATGGCTTATAAAAATCCTTAGAGTGCATGTTATAATTATAAAATTCTGCTTTACATTTGGTCTGTTAATGATAACAAAGTTATCATTATTCATCATCCTATTAAAGAAGTTGGAGTTCTTATTACAATAGAAATATTAAATGGAAGAGCGGTCTTAGAGGAATTCATTTATCTTGATTGATGGGAAAATGAAAGTGTCTTTATGGGATAAGTTAAGACATAGGATAAATAACTCTTTTAAACATTTGTAAAAATCAGAGAGCTTTTAAAATATTGGATACTTGCCATAATGTTGTAATGTAAAACTTTATCTGATGTTTTTGCTCTTCAAGATAAGGAAATGTATTCAGATAAGCTAAAATTCAAAATTAAAAGAACACTGTCAATTCTGATAAGCCTACGAAATATTTTTTAGTCAACTGACTATGCCCTTCCTAAACAATTCAGATTCTTTTCCTTGAGAGGTAAAACATTCATAAATTTCAAAAGTAAAATAGTAATGCAGTTTTACAAAATGCCATTCAGTTATAGACTAGGATGAAAAAGAAATTGAGAAGATGAACTTAGAATAATGACTTTTAGGAGTAGATAAGGTGTCATATGTCATTATGTCAAGTCTTTGCATGTAACACTTTAGTAGCTCTCTACTATCTGCCAGATAAGGTACAAAGTCTTTAACTGGTCTATGGTTAAACCCCTCCTAACCATCTATATAATATTCTATGTTTGTAACTCTGTGTCTTTTATTTCATTCTTTGGCAAGACCAACCTGCTGATTTTATGTTAAGGTTTATCTTTTCTTCTTTGAGGGCCTTTTTTGTGCTGGTCTCTCTATGTAGAATTTATATTCCTATTTTCTTTGTCTTGTAAGATCACCTATTTTGGGACGTTGTCTCATAAACTGCACACCACACCAAGCTGGGTCAGATGCCATCCTAAACTTAGAATACCCACAGAATATTGTATGTATCTATATATGATTATCTAAATACCATTGCAATCTCTTACTGTTTTAGGATTTATCTCTTTGTATGTCTAACTCTTCTAGAATATAAGTTCCTTGAGAACATCTACTTTGTATTACTCATTTTCTCATCTTTGGTACCTAACACAATACATAACAGTTGTCAGGTAATATTAAAGTGGTAGGTATTTTGAATTTGAAGTAAGGAGGACAAAAGGAATTAGACCTTCACATCTCTTCTTTCCATTTCCACTGCCACTGTCCTCAAACAGGCCATCATCATTTTGCACTGGACATACTGCAAAGTCTCCCAACTGGGTTTTCACTCTAATTTTTTTTTTTTTTTACCTTTCCTTACCTTTATCCTTAATCTATTCTTTACACTACAGCTATGGTTCCCTTTCTAAATCTGAAATCTGATTATGGCACCCTCCAGCTTCCCAGTAGTTTCCAGCTCCTTTTAATAGTTCCATATTGATCTTATGAGAAAAACAGAATTCTTTAACATAGTTTACAATGCCATGAATAATGTCACATTAGATTTCTAAAAGAGCTCAACATTCACTTTTCTCTTTCATAGTCTGTATTTCAGTTCCCAAACCTATGCATGTATCATTCTCCCTGACCTGAATACTATGCTTTCCCCTCCACCTTTGCCCCAGTTCACCTATGTAATTTCTGTTCATTCTCAGGTTTCAGCTTCAAAACCTCCAGCTACTCTCCCCTCCCCACATCTAGGTTAAATACCTCTCTTCTGTGCTCACATAGCATTCCATATTTATTCATATCATAGTTCTTATCAGAATATACTGGCCTTGCCTGTTAATATAGTGTATTGTACATAATATGGTAAGTTCCATTAATAATAGTAACAGTAGCAATGCCTATTTATTGTAGTAGTAACTACTAAGCCACTTATACTCAATATTTAAGCCAGGCACAGTGCAAAATAAATACCTATCACCGTATTTTATTTTCTTTTAAGTTTTTATTTATTCATTTAAGTGATGTCTACACCCAGTGTGGGTCTTGAACTCACGACCCCAAGATAGAGAATCACATGCTTTTCCAACTGAGCCAGATATCATCCATTTCACCTTAATTTAAAAATGAGGACAGGGCAGCAGTTTAGCACCGCTTTCAGCCCAGGGCATGATCCTGGAGACCCAGGATCGAGTCCCACGGCTCCCTGCATGGAGCCTGCTTCTCCCTCTGCCTGTGTCTCTGCTTCTCTCTCTCTCCCTGTGTGTCTCCCATGAATAAATAAATAAAATCTTTTAAAAAAATAAATAAAAATGAGGACAATGATTCAAAGAGCTAGTAATTAGCCAAACCAGAATCTAACCCAGGTCTTTCTGACTAGGCCCATGCTCCTAACCATTGTACTATGTTGACTCCTGGAGCTGTTTATATGGTTTACCATTGTGTCTATAGTACCTTAGCATACCGATTAGCATTTAGTAGGCATTCTGTACATATCAGTTTAATGAATGAATGATAGGGAAAACCAATACAAGGAAATAAAAACTTGAAGGTGGAGTTTGGAGTGTAAATTAATTCATCATCCTAGCAGTTTTACTGAGGAAGGCTTTAGTGGATTGACGACTTTTCAAAACTCAGAAAAGAAATAGAAGCAATGGAGACATGGGCTAGAAAAATGAGTCTGAGAAGGAGGATGACAATATGTATGAAAAGATCTTCATGGTAAGAGTTGTTCATTTGGTAACAAATTTATTGTTATCCCAAATGGCTGATTTTCATTGTTTAAAAAAAAAAAAAACACATGATGTTCCTACTTATAACACCTTCTGAATCTGATATTTATTACTAAAATATCCAAAGGAAAGGTTAATGATTTACATTGAAAGTGTGAAACCTGTTTCTAGTGGGTCTCTTCATGGAATGTTGGCCAAATAGAATAGTTCTCCTTCTGTGCTTCTTCCACATTGAGCTCTATTTATTCAGATTGGGTAGATGGCATATGTAGCTATCTTCTTGAGATTTTTTGTAGAATATTTGTTACCCTTGGAATAATCTGCCCATAGATACATCTATTTTTATAGAATAATCAATTTACTTTTAGCCTGAATTCAGTTAGTTAGCATTTTACATGGGAATTGTTTTACAAAATTGATTTATGCTATCTGCTTTCTAACAAAAGCCCATAAACTAAACACGAGGCTGTGTTCATCCAGGAACATTTCACACTGCTGAGGCTGAAGCTGATCCTCAGACTATGACTCAGGTATATGCGTTGCCTGAAATTCCTCGAGATCAAAATGCTGCAGAATCATGGGAAACCTTAGAAGCGGTATGTTAAAAATTATTTTTGTTTTGGTAGCTGTTAGGCATAAAAGTAAGTAACTTTCTTCTCTCTCTTTTTAAGGATTTAATTGAACTTAGCCAACTGGTTACTGATTTCTCTCTCCTAGTGAATGTAAGTATTTAATTGTTTTTGGCTCAGAGATGTTAGATTAATAAGATAAGAAGCTTTTATTAATTCCTAGGCTTTTGATTATAACTTCAATAAAAATTATAATTTTTAAGACTGATGTTCAACCATGGATTGAAGTCCAATGGTCCTCAACTTCCAGATAAATTTAATAAACATTTATCAAGTGTTTGTTATTTAAAAAGTACGTGTTAGATCCTTGGCACCTGGGGTCCGACAGGATTAGCTATAGAAGTAAATGAAGCCTATTCTTTGCCTTCAAGGACTTATAGTGGCTGTTGATAAGGTTGGACCCCCAAAACTGAAATTTCAAGCATGATTATTAAGTGCAAAAATGAGGTATGAAGGGAGGTATTATCAGCTTTAAGAGAAGCATTTTATTCCAAGGGAGAGAGGCAAGGGTTGTGAGATAGAAGTATTAGGATAGCTTCACGAGATAGGTAGCTTTTGCTTGAGCCTTGAAAATTGAGTACAATGTCCACAGATGGGAAGTGGGGAAGGGTGCATTTGAAAACAGCTGAATAAAGACATGGAGTACACAAGTGTATGGCCTTTGAAGAACGACAAGTATTGCAGTAATAACCAAAGCATGAACTACTATAGGCAGGCAAAGCAAGGAGTGTGCAGGCCAGATTGAGGTAGCATTGAAGGCCATACCAAAGAATTTGAACCTAAATTTGTAGATATTAGGGAGCCAGTATAGATTTTTGAGCAGATTAGAGTGATATGATTCAGTCTGCTTGAGAAAGATTACTGTTAGCAGTGTGAATTATGGCTCTGGGAAGGAGGAGATAGTAGGCAGGAGGACTAGTTAGAAATCAATAGCAAGAGTTTCACCAAGAGCAATGGCAATACAAGTATGAAGGTAAAGGACAGCTGAGAGGTATTTCTGGGGTAGACTTAGTAGAAATTAGAGGAAGATGGAAGAGTAAAACATTAAAGCTTATTCTGCATAATTGCGTGGCCAGTGATATCAACATAGATGAAGGAACATAAAGTAGATTTGGTGGGAAAGACAGAACAGGTTTTCTGTCATTGTTTTTCTAAATTATTCTTATGTTTCCTTCCCAGGAGGTATAGGAAGGTTGGATGTATGTGTGTGTATATCTGTATGCACATACAGGAACAAACCTGTGTCTGCTCATTCTTATGTCTAGGTTTAGTCCTTTGTTCTCAATCAAACCGTGATTTGGGGTTTTATGTGTATGAATTAGGGTTTCCCTGACATCTAGCTTTCAAGTATAAGAAATCCCTAGATTACACAATATTGGAACTAGCACTGCAAAGGACTTAATGAGGCCAGCTAATCTAATTCTTCTGTTCTTGCCCCAGCTTCTCATATAGATGGTTTTTCACCTCTTTTTGAACAATTATAGTACAGGACTACTCTATACTTTAGCCATTCCATTTGGAGACTCTACCTCTTAGAAGTTCTTCCTGATATAAACTCTGCCCTGTAATAACTTCCCATTGGTACTTTTGCCCTCTTGGAACCATATACTGAACAAGTTTTGTCATTTTCTCATATAATATTTTTCAACTTTTTGAGGCCAATATTATCCTTCCTCACCCTGTCCAACGTCATCATATTTTTTTTTCTTTTAAGAGCTCTTAATTCTCAAATGTGTTCCTTCTAGAATGTATGATTCCTAGGCTTTTCAGTGCTAATCCCTTCATCTGCTTGTTTTCTAGTTTTTATATTTTTTCTTAAAATCTAATGCCTAAAATTGAACATCAGTAAATTGTTTAAAGCATTTTCCTTTTTTGATGCTTCTAAATCAGAAGAAGCAAAATGCTTGAAGTTTCTGGATTTAGGTAGCTATACAATCTGTCAATATACTTGCATATAAAAGGGAACGATACAAGAATCCCCAAATATTTGTTGTTTCAGAATCAAGTTTTATTCAGTTATTTTAACTCTCTGATTTAATGCTGTTTGTAAAATCTGTACATGTATGGTTCTACAAATATATACATTTGTCAAAAATCATTGATATCTACACATAAAAATTTGTGAATTATAATGTATATAAGTTATATCTCAATAAAGTTGATTTAAGAAACAAACTAAACATGTACAAAGTTCTCATTCCAGACAAATACATTTCCCTTCCAAAGGGATAGGCACATGAAAGGAAAATTGAGGGCTTGTGGCCATTTAACAATTATATATCCAATTAGGTTACGTAAGCAGCTCCCAACCCCTAATCTTAGGAAGATTTGTGTAGGAAGACTTTGGCTATAGCCATGGTTCTATACAAATGTCCTATTTATTATAATCTGTGTGAGGCCATGGGACAGAAAGCTATTAGACAGAAGCTCAAAGGAGAACCCCTGATTACTATTCCCAGGGTAATTGAGTTCTCATGACCAAATGGTCAGGACTCACAGAAGCTCCATTTAGGCACCAAATGACTTGGGAACATAAGCAGAGTGACCACATCCTCTAATTATCATCACATGGACGTGATAGATTCTAGACAAATTAGCCATGTATTTTTGGAGCCCTTTCTATGTGCATAGTACTGTGCTAAGTAGGCTCAATGAAAAGTAAAAAATAGTTTAAAAAAAATCAGGGGGCCTGGGTGGCTCAGTGATTGAGCATTTGTCTTTGGCTCAAGTCATGATCTGGGATCCTGGGATCGAGTCCCACATCGGGCTCCCTGCAGGGAGCTTGCTTCTCCCTCTGCTTATGTATCTGCCTCTTTCTATGTTCTCTCGTGAATAAATAAATAAAATCTTAAAAAAAAAAACCCTATAGGATAGTCTTGATAATGGCATAACATTGTGAATGTACTTAATGCATCTGAATTGCACACTAAGAATGGTTAAAATAGTAATTTTTATATTATGTATTTTTTTTTACCATAATGAAAAATGAACCTGCAAAGCCATTGAGAGATCCAGGTGTGACCCAATAATAAACTAATATCTACTAAGAACCCTGCTTCAGTTTTCTTCAATCTTTATTGCTCAAGTGCCCTCTTCTCTTCCTGTAACTGTGGAACTAGCCTTTTTTCTTGTCAAGGGGAATTTAAAGAACTCTGGGCCTGTAGCCCAGTGGCATGTCACCCTTGCTGCTGGTCCAGCTTTGTTTCTCCCTTCTACCTTATTCCCTATGGTTTTTACTCTGAATGCCTAAAAACTGGATTGTAAAGGATTAGATCAGATCAATCAGATTTATTACCTATTTGACCTTAAGAATGTTGTTTGACAACAATGTGCTTTATAAAATTGTGGGAGGACTAAATGAGATAATGTCTTTTACTTCCCATCTCGTTTCCTTTCACTGACCCCCAACTGCACTCCTGCCTTTGTCCTTCCCTTATAGGATTCCCTCTTTGGCTTTTCTTTTTTTTTAAGGTTTTATTTTTTCATTCATGAGAGACAGAGAGAGAGAAGCAGAGACATAGAGGGAGAAGCAGGCTCCTTGCAGGGACTCTGATGCGGGACTCGATTCCCAGGCCTGGGTTCACGACCTGAGCTGAAGGCAGACGCTCAACCAGGGTGACCTGAGCCACCCAGTCATCTCCCTCTTTGGCTTCTTGCTTAGAGTTTTACTTCTGCCACCACTGTTACCTTTAGACATTTTAGTACTATAGTCTCTAGAGTCCCTCTCCTATTGTTGAATCCCATGATATCAACATCCTACTTACCTACTCTGTTTATCACCTACTCTAGGTCAATATAATCCTGGACTCTGTCTGTATATAGTAGTCTTTGTATGTTTCTGAGCTTTTCTGTGTGTAGTATTTATTGGCTATGATTAAGAATTATAGATTACATACTTTTGGACTTAAAAACCAGGATAGCTCAGTGTTACCTGGATTGACCAAGATCCAAGATTAGAGCTAGCCTTAAAAATAGCTAGAATTGCGAGAGTCAGGAATATAATAAAGGAAAATAACTGCAGTTTTGGCAATAACTTCTTAAAGAAACCCATAGCTTTTTTGGCACATTAATAAAACCATACAATGACTAGCAAGACTCTCCAAAGGAGAGCATTTTTATTGATGTAAATAGATTTGGGGATGGATTTTTTCAATGTATTATGTAGTTTGATAAAAAGGATGCTGGTTATACAAGTGTCCAAAATAAGCATTCAAGGGAAAACTGCATTCTACTTGACCAACATTAACTTAATAAATTACTTTTTTTTTTTTTTTCAGAATCTTAGATGCTCCTACAACTGCTCATTAAGATTCAGTTATTTTTTCAGGAAGATAAAGGGCCCTAATTCAGTATTTTTAAAAATGAAATTCATAGGCATATTCTTAGTCTTTTGAGAATTCTTTTCCTTTAAAAAAGGGAAGAGTCTTTATATTACTTTACAGAAACACTAGTGTCTTTCCTGTATGGTTTAACTCTTTGATAAAGGGATGCTGAGAATATATATGAGGGGCCAAAGTATAAAATGTCAAGAAGGGAGTTTGAAGTTTGTCAAATGTGGGAGACCCAGACAGATGAAAGCAACATAAGCAAATCAGAAGCACAAAGGGGAGGTTGGTAGGTATATGGGAGGAGACTTCTGAGCCACTATCATCAGGAAGTTGGTTTCCTGTACTCTGCAGTAAGGTGGTAGTTAGATGGTTTGGCCCAGCATAAAGAACCAAAGACATGGTGAACAAGTCTGAATGGAATCTAGTTTGGCATTCTTAGACAGTGACTGACAACTGGCACTGGTTTGCTGCTTAATTATAATTGTGTCATTGAGTCTTCTTTAAATTCGATATTTATGAAGCAGAATTTGAAGATATGGGCAAAGTTTGGGCTTCAAACCAAGAAAAATAGGGGAAGAAAAGGCAAGTCTGTATAACTGAGGGATGGTTGTTGATCCCAGGAGAGGGACTGGTCTACCCTCTGCCTTATCTCCATGTCCACATTTAAGCAAGCTTCCACATGTCCATGATTAAGTATTCAAGTGTGGGCTACTCTTCAGGGTGAGACAGACCTCATAAAGTATTGGTGATATCAGGGATAAGGGAGCATCAGTGATCTCAGGCTTCATTTTGTCTTGTGGTCCTTTCTCAATTATACCAAAAGATTTTTGTGAAAAAATATTTAAATTATTTTTAAATTTTAGATTTTTATTTATTTAAAAAGAAGAGGGAAGCCTGGGTGGCTCAGTGGTTGAGTGTCTGCCTTTGACTCAGGGCGTGATCCCAGAGTCCAGGATCGAGTTCTGCATCGGGCTCTCTGCAAGGAGCCTGCTTCTCCTTCTGCCTATGGCTCTGTCTCTCTCTGTGTCTCTCATGAGTAAATAAATAAAATCTTTAAAAAATAATAAAAAGAGTCATAGAACTGCATATCCAACCTTTTTAAGAAGGAGTATCAAAAATATTTCTCTGAGGCGATGAGATGAAACAGGGTATAGAAATGACAATAAGTCAAGCAGGCTCCATCACCTTGATGGAATTACTTGGGGACTGAGAGAGAGGAGGAGACATGTTGGGTTTTTTTCCATCTACCCCTCAGCTCATCAAGATGTGGAGGCTGATGGTAACACCTGTGATTTATCTGCTAGCACAAACTTTCAGGCAAAAATGGAAAGTGTTGGGGGTGTCCCAAATGGAAACAATGATAGAAATTCAGTGTCATGGGGCACCTGGGTAGATCAGTAGTTGAGCGTCTGCCTTTGGCTCAGGTCGTGATCCCAAGATCCTGGGCTCGAGTCCTGCATTGGGCTCCCTATAGGGAGCCTGCTTCTTCTCTATGTCTCTACCTCTCTCTGTGTCTCTCATGAATAAATTTTTTAAAAAAATCTTAAAATTCAGTGCCAAATCCCGATAGGCTGGAACTGGAGAGTACTATGCTAAGCAAAATAAGTCAATCAGAAAGAAAATTACCATATGGTTTCACTCATGTGGAATATAAGAAACAGCTCAGAGGTTCATAGGGGAAGGGAGGGAAAACTGAATGGGAAAAAATCAGAGGGAGACAAAACATGGGAGACTCTTAACTACAGGAGATTGAGGGTTGCTGGAGGGAAGGTGGTGGGGGTGATTGGGTAACTGGGTAATGGGCATTAAGAAGGACACTTTAATGAACACTGGGTGTTATATGCAACTGATGAATTACTGAACTCTATATCTGAAGCTAATATAACTATATATTGGCTAATTGAATTTAAATTTAAAAAAATAAATCCCAACAGGTTGGGTATTATTAGTGTTGGCACTTATGCTTCTGTGGGTTGGAAGAAGAAAGCTAACATTAAAAAAGTTTATTATATGAGGAAAAGAAAAACAATGAATGACTAGGAGAGATCTAATGTTTTAATGCCCAAGAATTTTCAAGCGTCATAGGAAAAGGTTTAATATGTTTTTTAGAAAAGAAAGATGGGAGCTAAGCTTTCTTGAGAAGATCATGACTTGTATTTTTCTCCTCACACTCTACAGACCCTATCTCATTTTAGCCTCACTTCAACTCCCTGAGGTATATTATCCTTATTTGAGAGATGAGAATATTGACACCTGGAGAATTTGAGTAATTTGTCCAAGGGCACACAGTGCTGGGATTTAAACACAGGATGTCTGTCCAAAGGTTGTGCCCTTAATCCGATTGTGTGGACTTGCAGTATCACTTGGGAACTCATTAGATATGCAAATTCTCAGGCTTCACCTAAAGTCTACTGAATCGGAAACTGTGGGTGTGGGACCCAGCGGTCCATGCTTTAATAAGTTCTCTGGGTGATTCTGGTGTGCACTCACATGCAAGAATCACTGTTGTACTTGTCTCTGACAGAAATGTTCAAAAGAAAACTGATAAAGGACTTTTTTAGGGGTTGTGTTAGAGATTGCAAGATAGCAGGGGAGAATACAGGAATGAAGCGATACTATGAAAGGTCTACCAGTGAAAAGGTACATACTTGGTGTATGAGAAGGGAAGGAATGTCAGTAAGGCTGATAGGAAGCAACTGTGGGGAAAAAATCAGCTGTGTTGTTACATGTTCTTTAAGATGGTTGGAGTTAAGTGTAATATCCAATGCAGTGTAAGTTAAGAGGGAATCAAGTGCTTGAGGATTAAACTTGAATTATTTCACAGTCATTGTAAGAGTGGGATTTAGCTGGGATCAAAGAGGGATTCTCTTCCTTTTTCTATGAATTAAAACAACAACAACAACAAAAACCTAGGAGTGCCTCGGTGGCTCAGTTGGTTAAACATCCAGCTCTTGTTTTTGGCTAAGGTCCTAATCTCAGCATCATGGGATTAAGCCTCATGTTGGGCTCTGCACTCAGCATGTAGTCTGCCTAAGGCTCTCTGTCTCTCTCTCTCCGCCCCCTTCCCCGTATGCACATGCTCTCTCTCAAATGAATTAATCTTCAAAAACAAATAAAAACCCTTGATGTGATGGTGGTCACTTGGGTTTTATACGTTTATTAGAATTTATCATACTGTACCCTTAAAATGGGTGCATATTATTGTATGTAAATTTTGTCTACATTTTATTTAAAAATTCCCATTGTTCCTGTGGCAAGTAATTGAGTTCCCGTCCCTGGAGGTGTTTGAGCTGAGGTTCAGTAACCACTTGTGAGAAATGTAGTGGGGCTTCACCTCTGAGAGGAAAATCATTCCTTCTACCCAGAGGTTCTATGTGTCACAAGTGCTATTGTGTCAGCACAGGTGTTGCCTTTTTTTGTAGATTGCTTTATTAATATCTTTGATCTGGAACATCTTAACTTGTCATGATTTTAAAATGTATTAAAGTGTACAGGTGTGAAGCTCAGGACAGTAAATTCATTCAGTGCTCCCTACTGCATATCACAAGTAGAAAGTTTTAATGACAGATCAAACCAAATTGTGTTCTCATTTTTAAATGTAATCATTTGTATTTATTGGATCCAGGGCATTTTATTCCTAAGGCAAATTTGCCTGTTTTAAATCTTTGACTTTTCAAAGAAGATAAGGAGGTTTTTTGTTTGGTTTTGGTTTTGTTATTTTATCATCAACTTCGACATGTAAATGCTTATTTGGATTTTTCTTCTCTTACAAAGTAGATTCATTTGGAGAATAATATGTATGTTTGAATTTTAGTGTGAAATGCTTTTTCCTATAAAGGTGCCACCCTTTTATTATCTAATAAGTCACCCTCTTTTTTTATGTATACAAGTGAATTTGTACTTTCAACATAGTTTATCAGACGCTATTAACGAAGCACTATTCAGACTGCAAGGCTACAGTACACGGGATCCTGATTACAGGAATTAAAATAGTGTGTATTGGCTGACTGCTGCTCCCCAGCAGGAACGCTCACTCATAATTCCTTTGCATCTAGTCTCAGCAGGAGAAGATTGACAGCATTGAAGACCATGTCAACAGAGCTGCTGTGAATGTTGAAGAGGGAACCAAAAACTTGGGGAAGGTAAGATTCTGCTCCTGCTGACAAATCAATGGTACTCTGGCTCCCAGGAATCTCTAGTATTAACCCAATTGATCTGCTCTCTTTAATGTGGAAGGAACCAGCAATTAAGGAAATAAGGAACAAATGACACATAGGTAGTGCAAGAAATCAATGACTGTTGTAATATTCTACTCTAAGATCCATTCTGTTGGGAGAGAAATTTTTTAGGGAATAAACCAAAGCCCTGCTATAAGGCATTTTGGTGTTATAAGGGAGTATTTGCAGAGGTTCAGATAGTGAAGTAGAGAGTGTTGGCAGAATCCAGTTGGGGCAAAAGTGTAAGGATGTGACAGCACGTGTGGAGTGGGACCGTCTATTTCCCATAGAATATTGCTTTTAGCCCCAGGTATACAGCACAGAATAATCTCTATGCAATGTAAAAGCTTTGGGGTATCTATAGTAGCTGAAACTGTTTAAATAAGCTTGCTAGATAGTTAGTAGATTGATTGTTTTGCAAGTAAAATCAATTGGCAGTAGTCTGCTTTTTATAGCTCATTTCTCTAAGTTCTGAGACCAGAAGCAATTGTAGTACCTGTGGAATACACCACTCCCCCCACTCCCCAATCTCTAAGGTTAATTATGTACTAAGAGTTAAAGAGGCATTGCCAGGAGTAATGAGAGGAAAATGCACATCACCACAGGCAGATATTCTCAACTCAATTTCTAAATTGAATTTTTTTTTTTTTTTTTTTTTTTTTTACAGGCTGCAAAATACAAGCTGGCAGCTCTGCCTGTGGCAGGTGCACTCATCGGAGGAGTGGTGGGGGGTCCGATTGGCCTCCTTGCAGGTTTCAAAGTGGCAGGAATTGCAGCTGCACTTGGTGGTGGGGTGTTGGGCTTCACAGGTGGAAAATTGATACAAAGAAAGAAACAGAAAATGATGGAGAAGCTCACTTCCAGCTGTCCAGACCTTCCCAGCCAAACTGACAAAAAATGCAGTTAAAAACCAAACTTTAGTATTATTGGCGCCAACATGTCTATTCTAATGAGGACTTTTGCTGCTGTTGGACACTCAGTCAGCTTTTGGAACATGATTCTATAAAGATAGTGGCTGTAGATGCTCAAGTGGGATTGAACTGTGATGAGTGGATGTATTTTGTTGTTTGCTGGAGTGTTAACGGAGATGTTAGAGATTGAGGAGCCTGGACTGAGGGTGAGCTGCGTTGTCAGGTAAAGTTTAAAGACTGCCGAGGAGCAGATTTTCTGCCTGGAAATGTGAAAAATGTGTGGACATGATGTTTATTCCATAACCCTGACTTGGAGACCCAAAGGCTGAGTGTATTATAAACATGCTTATTTATCTCCTAAATATAGGAGGTTATTTAGGCCTGTTAACAAAGAAAAGAATGGGGAGTTCAGGAGCCTTTCTTATCAAATAAGGAAATCAGGATCTGGTGAGGGGCAGGGGTGAACTACATAGTGGAGTCCATTTGGTGAACCCTCTTGTGGCTTGGTCCACCTGTATTTTCTGATGAGGGACACTAATCATGTAAGAAAATGTAAGAAGTGTAAGAAGGTGCACTTCTCTTTGAGATATCTTAGTTTGTGACACAAGCTTCTCCTCTGAACTCTTCCTTCTGTCTCTTTAAATAAAGAACACAGACTCTCGAGTGATAGGAGACTATTGAGCCAGTCACTAACCTTGCTCTGTCAGCCTGTCTCTTAACACCTCAAAGATCTAGTGCCCTCTGCCTTCCCTCCCTTGTAATAATGACTCAGGGGGTGATTCTACCCATATGTACTGAGGACTTGTCTCACAATCTGCTTTCTTGTATTGTCTCCCATCTCTGTCCATCCTTTCCTGTAACCTCTAGGTTAAAGAGAGAAAGAAAAGAGAAATCTCCAAATATTTCCAACACTGTTAGAGTTTGAGATAAGGAATAAGCAGAGGGTAAGGGCGATACCAGACCATTTCTTGGGACGTCTTACAATTTCAAGAGACTGATGTGCCTGCCACACAGGGAATCTCTGACCCTAAGACTTTTCAGCTGGCCCTTGGGGGAGCTAAGAACTAGCTTTCTACCTCACTTCTGTTACTACCATCTTTTTCCCCAGGCTTTGCTGTCTCCTGTGCTTTATTTTACTTTTCACAGCTCTTACTTCTTCCTAAGAATGGCATTCTTGCTCGGCTTTTCTCACACTCAAGATGATAGACAAAGCCTGGTGCCAAGATTGGTCCTGATGAAGGATTTGTGGTGCTAATCCCAACATTTGACATTGACAGCAAGCATGGCTCAGCCCAATGCAGTGTCTATCTCAAATAGCAAAAAGGTTTTAATTTTTTGAAAAAGAATTGAAAATAATAGGTAGCCTCATCCTGTACCCCCCAATTCATTTGAAATAGGAGGGAACCACCTTTTGCCTTAATCATTACTATTTTCTGGGGGCAGAAGAATGGATACCTATACCACAAAATGTGTGAGCTCAGGAGCCCCAATAGTCCTCAGGTGGCTGAGTGGTTTATTACTTCTCTCTTGTTGAGTTTACTCTTGATTATTTTTATTGTTTGTTTGCTACCTTTTACTTCTTTCTCTAATCTAGACAGACCTCTCTCACACTTTTTTCTTTTGACTCATCAATGAATTCTAATGAAGAGAAAGCACCATTTTTTACTGCCATCAAATAACTGGAAAATATCAAGTATTGCTATCTGCTGACTTATATCTTCAGTAGAATGCCAAGAAGGAAGTGCTTTGAATAAGCGTTAGATTCTGATCCAGTATTTGATACTGGGTATCCGTAAGGTTGGAATAATTGCTTTGGAGCTCCACCTCTTTAAATATTTTCTGATTCTTGCTGTCCCTTTAACACAGGGTATTCAGACCAGAGTGAGGACCAGACTCACCCAGGTTGCTTCCTTAAAACAAGGTTGCTAAACTTCAGCCCCATAGGTAACTCTGACAATAGCCAATCTGGCCTGGTCAAAAAATTGATAAAATTTTTAAATTTTATGCTATATAAATTTAAATTTTAAATTTATAAAATTATAAATTTAAGGTATAGTTACATCAGGATTCAGCTGTATCATTGAATTCTATAATTTCTAAGTATTTTGGCTTTCAGCGTGGCCCAGTCTTCATGGCTCCATATCATTCCCACTCTGCCAGCCCACAATTGGCTACACTTTTTAGCCCATCATCTTTTTTTTTTTTTAAGATTTATTTATTTTAGAGAGAAAGAGCATGAATGGAAGGGGCAGAAGGAGAGGGAGAGAGTCTTAAGCAGATTCTGAGCTGAGCGTGGAGCCTGATGTGGGGCTCAATCCTGAAATCATGACAGCCAAAACCAAGAGTTGAACACTTAACCACCTATGCCAGCCAGGTGCCTCTTAGTCCATCCACCATCTTATTGGCACTAGGGACTCATTATCCTGTCAGGCTAGTTTTACACTGAGAACTAGAGGAGAGAGTAGGCCTATAATTGAAGCTTCTATTTTGTTTGGGGATTTATTTTCTACCAGCCAGTTTGGGACACCACTGTATGTGCTCATATAAGCCTTTGATTTTTACTAATCAGGATTGGAATATCAGGAGCAGTCTTTATTTATGCTCAGGTAAACCACAGTCCTTTTACAAAGTCTTATCATTTAAAATTATTTAGAAATTGTATCTAATTTCCCCATAATAGAACATAATAGCTAACTTTTTGTAGAAATTTCTTGAAGTGTTTAATCAACTATAAATGATATACCTATAAAGTGTTTAGAGGTATGAATTAGTTAATATGATGCAGAAGCCAATCTTAAACTGAATTTAATGCCCTAGGTATCAGATTAAATTCATCTTCTCTGTGATTCATGTCTTATTTTTACTAGATTCAGATTAGAAGATAAGGGTCCCTTTGATTAAGTTCTTAAAAATTATAGTGTTATAAACTTCCAGTTATAAAATGAAGTCACAGAGGTGGAAAGTACAGATTAGGGGGAGAAAATATATAGAAGTTCATTTGAATAAATGCAATGCTCCTAAAGACTTTTTTTTGTTTTTCTAAAGACTTTTTGATCTAATAATATGAGAATTTCTCCCTAGAGACCTTGAAACTTTGTGGTTGTAACCCATGGTAAAAAATGCATTTATAGCAGAACTCAGCATATGTATAATGGAACAATACCATTATGTGTAGTGTACTCTGATGTTTTTTATTTCAGTTTTTAAAATATGGCTGGTTGCAACCTACCTGTTGATTTCATAATCTACCAATGGGTTGTGACTCTTAGTTTGAAAAGAAGAAAACACCCTATGGAGGAACTGGTATTTATTGAATATCTTCTCTTTTCCAGGCACTTCACTAGGCATTATATAGGTAAGGAAACTGAGTCTCAAAGAAGTTAAGTGACTTGCAAAGGGTTATTCAGCTGTAAAAGGTTGAAACCAGAGGAATGTTAACCAGGTCTCTTGAACTACAAAAATTTCTGTTACTCTCATACTTCTGTGTATAAAACTGATTCATTCATCCTGCTTCACCCAAACACCAGTATATTCTATAAGGCAGGCTTGCTGTGAAATTTCATGTGCCAACAATTTGTGGATTTTTTGTTTGTTTTTTGTTTTATCTTTTGTCATGAAGTGTCCTGCAGCCTCAAAGTTTTTAATAGTGGCTGATGCACAGTTACCTAGCTGAATTTGGTCCTTAGACTGTAAAATTAAAAATGTTTCCATCCCATCTACACAACCTACAAATTTCCTTGTATTCCGTGAGTTATAGCCATCTTTTCAGTGCTTTTTTTATATATTAAAAATGAACTCTACTTTAAAAAATCTGTCATAACTCATAGAATCAAATGATTACTCTCTTTTAAAATGGTACCCTTGGGAAGCCACGTACTTACTGCAGTGATGCTATATTACTTAGAACATGTTTGAAACTTTTCTTTTGGAATTGGCTCCAAAGACATTTTGCAAACCACATAGAAAAGCCATCTCAGCATTTTATTAGTCACGGATTACACTCCCTTGTCCTTATGACCTCTCCTCTCTTCCTTTCTCAGTTTTGCTTTTCTTCTGCTGGCTTAGTTCTCCTACCCACCTTTGCTGGAGCCAATAACCCAGAAAGGGGGTATGCTGGCCAGAGTTCCTGGAGCAAGAACTTTTAGTTTATATTGAAGCTGAATGTTATAAAGGGAGAATCCTACAAGTCCCAAAACCTTTGTCTGTGGGCTGCTTGTAAATGTCATAAGTAGTTTGCACAGGAGTAAGGACTGAAATATTGATAATATCAATCACAAGAAGGTGAGGAATCTGGAAATAGAAGTATGTAATGTGCAGCATTTCTCTCCAGTGAAGAACAGAAACCAAACCAAGCCATGCTTTTTGTTAACTTAAAACTGAAAGGTATTTCTCAGGGTCCCCTTTACCCTTCATTGCTGCCACATAACATCTGGAAGAAGGATGATGAAAAGCCTGGGGAAAAGGTTCTCTTGTGAAACGGACAAGTTCTTCTCTTGTGTTAAATGTAGCTTTGCTCTCAGATACTTAGGAATATTAGACAATGTTCTTAGAATCAGAAGACTAATAAAAGGTAGGACATCTTCCCCATGAGCCTAAATTAATGTAAACAATTCAGGTTCTGTTTGTGTTTTTAACATTTCATTGTGTTTGTAACAGATGGTTCTTGGTATTTATATTCGTTAATTTGACACCATTTTACAGAGAAATTTCTTTGGTATTATAAACAGTGGAAAAAGATGCATATTATTATTCACATTACTACCCTCAAAGAAATTATTTATTTCCAGAGATAAGAAATATATCTGTGTAAATTCAAAAAAGAAATAAATTGAACAAAAAAATAAATTGAATAAAAATGATTTGCCCAAGATCAAAGCTAGTTAGCAACACAGCTAGAATTATACCAAGGTCTAAGAAAAAAACAACCCAAAACCCTCAAAGTAATTTAACTGAGGTTTTGTTATGCTATATCAAGTTGCATGCTGAGGCTTATGGTCTTTCAGACCAGCTTAAATTCCAGATCAGGCAATAGCTATAGTGAAAAGAAAATTGGATGGGGGATCAGGAGATCAGAGTGCTAATTTTGGCTTTGTCTTTCTCCCATGCTAAGCTTTTTCTTAGTATGGCTGCCTTCCCCTGTTCCAGCCAGGGATTCGCTAACTATAAACCCTAGTAGTTAGCAACTTGACACTCTCCATTCTTCATATCTAGTCTCTTACTGGGTCCTGTCAGTTGTACTTTGAATGTTAGTTGTATCGACTTCTAAATATATTCATGGTCATCACTCTAGTAAATGACTGTATTACCTCATTCCCCCTACCTCATTTTCCCCAACTTTAAGCCATTCCTCACTTCACTGCCACGGGAATGAGAACCAGGTCCCTCTTCCATTTTTCTGCTGAAATAATTTCCAGTGGTTCTCCCTTGAATACTCAATAACGTTCAAACCCCTTAGGTTGGCCTTCACAGCTTTCCTTATTCTGGCCTTAGCTTTCTCTCTTCAAACTCAACTACTCACCATCTGACAATGCCACTGAGAATCAGACATTCCATAAAAATGATTTTAAGGTTTCTAAAAGTTACAAACTGGTAATAAAATGTTTACATTTGTCCAGATGAAAATTCTATAATACTGCATTTTACACAACTAGTCAGCCTAAAAGTTGTTTAAGGAAAATCTTTTGTCCCCCCAGAAGAAATTATATCCAATTTAACCTCCGAAACAATGTCAGTCTTGTCACCTGTGCATGGGGACTTTTCTTCAGCAGCATAGATACTCCAGCCTTGAATGGATCATTGCCTAGCTCCTGTGAGAAACTTGACTAATAAATATTTGAGAAGAACAACTCAAGATACATGTTATTCATACATTTCTCAAGTACTTGAGATTTTCTTGTATTATGGTTAATCATGAAAAAAAAAAACTTACCTGGACTTCATTAATTAAACACCCTAAGATATTTTCCATTTTATTGTTAAACCCTTGATATTAGCAAGGGTCAGCACAAGAAAAGGCCCAATGGTGAGAATTTCTACAAATTCTGTAAAGCTTACTGAATTCATTATGTTGTTGAGTGGTGCTTGTATAAGGAAACACGCAATAAATTCATTCAACAAACAATGAATTGAATGCCTGGTGTGTGTTTAGTGCCAGGGCCATACATAGAAAAATGTTAGACCCAGAGAATCTACCCTTGTAAACCATTCAAGCTAATGAATTCTGATACATAAAGCAAATAAATCACGGTAACATGTGGTAAGTACCTTATAAGAGGAATGAACAAAGTAAGATAAGGCACCGAAGATGAAGTGGTTTGCTGCCTGGAATAAAAGGGGAAGGCTTGGTGGGACCTGTGCTATTGGAGCAGTACCTGAAAGGTTTTGCCTGACAGAAGACAGAGTTGTGGGCTCTGGGGTGGCAGAGGAATTGCAAAGGGTTGAAACGTACAAAGGGTTGAAAACATGAAAGAGGATAGCGTGCTCAGAGAAAAACCAAGGAATTAGATGTTGAGAGTGGTGCAGCCGGTAGTTTGGAAATAGAGACTAAGGTGGTTATGCATGTTTTTAATTTAATAATTCTTCGTTTAAAGGAATCAATGTGTTGCTTTGAATCAGATAAGACTTAGAATCCTCAGAGTTCTTCCTTTTAAGGCCTTCCTTGCCTGGGAAGTTAGTAAACCTCACCTTTGCCGGAGTTCTTGGTATGTTTGGCATATTTGCTTTCCTTTCCCACATGCAAGAAGTGATTTGTGCTTTCTTGTCTCTCTGCTGTGAGATCCTCTGCTTCATACTGAATGCCTGCTTTCTTCCTGTCCTGCTATTTATTCCATAAATATTTATTGAAAGCCCACTGAGAAAATAAATAGTCATGAAAATTACCTATTGGTGGCCAAGACTTTCGTGGTCCAGTTTTCCATTTCTACAGGAGTATTTCTTAACCACTGCAATTCATTGGCTTCATTCACTTGTGGCAAATTCTGCAATGTTTTATAAATTCATAGCTATAAACTTCTCATTTGTAGTGGTATGATCTCCCCAACTAGACTGTAAGCTTCTTTCTGGGCAGGGACTATATCTTCTACTTCTTGGAATATTTTTTGGAATGAAATACACTGATGAGAAGGGGGAAAGAAATACACCTCCCAAGAGTGACTTCTAGATAATGAATGATGGAGTCCTAGCTTGGGTGTTGTACCATCTTTCAGGGATATATATGGATATGTGGAAAAGCCTTCCAAGACATTTCAAACCTTTGCTCAGTACTCTATACTTTTATATATTAACATAGGACTGAATGATGCAACAGAAGAAATCTGGAAAATACCTCCAGGACTTGGGAGCCATGAATTGAAAATTTCAGAATTTGGAGGTAAAGCTATTTCTATTTTTCCAACTAAGAGTCATGACTTAAAGAGGAGCTAGGATCTGAATCGCTGAAGAAATTGTTTGGAAAAGTTGGGTTTATCTTCAATCTTCCATAGGATTGATGGGGTCGGAATAGTAGGGACCCAAGAAGGATTTAGAATCTGATGGCCTAGTATTAAAACGGAAGTAGCAGTAGGAATTTAATTGCTCTGTGAGGCAGGCATGGAGACTAGAATTAAGAAAGTGCAGGGCTGAAGTGAAGGGGTAGGCATGTGACAGGATTTTGACCAAGGTCTCCAGTACCCACGTTCACGTACTTTTCCCACCAAACAGCTTTTCAGCGAGTTGACAAGAATGAAAAGGAATAAAGTGCTTGGCACTTACTAAGTTTATTCATGGACGTTAGTTCCCTTTCTTTCCTTACTAGGCTTAAGTGTTCATTACAGATTTGCTACCTGTTATTTGCGTTGAGGTGAGGGTGAACAACTCTTCTTAGCCTTCACGTACTTGAATTTCCCCTTCCCTGCTGATATCTTGGCCTGTCTTACAGGGGTGTCATGAAGATGAAAACAATTAGTACACGTTAAGTGTCCAGGATGGAGGCTGGTTCATATTAAATGTACAAATGTTAAGTGGCTACTGTTATGGTAATTGTTACTATTTTTTCCTAAAGTTTAAAGGAACAGCACATTAATGAGAAAGTATCATGGACCTACGAGAATCTTGTTAGGAAGACCTCTAAAATGAGTGGAGACTTGATAGAAACACCAAGAATTCTGAAAATAACTTTTTTAAAAAAAGGCTTGTTATTAAGAATATGGTATAATGATGACAGGTGACGGAGGGGGAGAGTAAATCTTTTTTTCCCTGATAAGAATGATACCCAAACATGAAAATGTATTAACAGGTCCAGGTAGGAATAGGGTGATGATACATTCCAGCTAGTCTGGGACGATCTTGATTTACATCTTTTGTCCTGCTGCAGTTATTACTGCTTCCTTTCACTCTCAAATATCTTAGTTTGGATGAAAAAAATTACATGGTCACCCTAGTTATAAGGGCAACGAAGTGCAGAGTTTGTTCTCTCCCTCCCCCTCAAAAAAAGCATGTGTTAAAAGAATTTGTTTCTAGGCTTCGGCAAATGTCATCCTCCTAAGGTTAGTGGGAACTTGTAAATGTGATTGTAAAGCACTACCACTAACTTCTGAGGGACCAGAAAATTAAAAAAGGTGCCAGAATACTGAGCGTGGGCAGAAGGCTAAAATTTAAGGGGTAAAGTTCTATTTCAAAAGCCATGAACCACCAGGGAATTTACCTTGTAATCTAGAAAAATTCTGTAGTAGACTATCAAACAATGTTAAATCAGAAAGCCATGTTCTTTATGAAGATATGAAGAATGGGTCCGTCAGGATAGATGCTCTATCCTATTTCCCTCTGTGTGTGTAGCCAGGGAGGATGCCTTTGGGGCAGTGGTGAGGGCAGGAAAACATAGTATCAGGCTTCCCAGACTGATTGAATCCTGTGTCATGTGCAAGTTTACATATGACATCAGGGGAGTTGCCATGCAGCTTTCTCCCTGTCACCCATCCCAGTAAGTAAAATGAAGCACAGCACAGACAGGGCAATTACACGATCTACTGGAGTGGCCCGGAGCTGGAAACAACAGGGCAGCAATTCCTAGCAATGCTTTGCTACTACAGTCAGACTTTCTTACGATTTATTTCTTTGAGAGAGAGAAGGCAGGAGGGGCAGAGCAAGAGAAGCCTCAAGCAGCCTCCCCACTGAGCATGGAGCCCCAGGCGGGACTCGATCCCACCACCTGAGCCGAAGACCAAGAGATGTTTAACTGAGCCACCCATGCGCCCCTGCAGTAAGATGTTAATAGAGAAAAATGACTACTGATTCTCCTGGAGCAGAGTCCATTCTAGGGACAGTGATATTTTCCTATCCTTTCTTCATTTATGATGTAATTTGGCTCCCCCCCCCATAAGAATTATTGATCTTACAGTGCTCTCGATTGCTGGGAATACAAAGGTAGAGGAGTTCCTGCATCTGTGGCATTCACGTGGTTTAAGAAAAACAGATACATGTTCCCAACTGTGTATTAGACTGAGTCCTCTAAAATACATCAATAAAGGGCTGTGGGACCACAGAGGGTGATAACTGTCGTGGGCACTGAATGATGGATAGACAAAATTTGTTAGGCAAGGGAAGAAGGAAGGGGGCATTTTAGAAAAGCAGTTTCTAGGCTGCACTTTTCTTCCTCCTCTCCAAAACCCACTGTCTAAGGGCAGGTCAGTCCTTCCCCAGAGTGCTCTGAGGGCGAGCCTGGACACAAAGGCCAGGTTTGAGCTATCAGCATCTGGATTCATATAGCTTCCTATTCTGATTCAAGTACGTTAAATCTAAAAAATAAAATTAAAACTGGAAAAGCTTGTAACTGGTCATCTGGAGTCAGAGTAAAGGTTCACATATTTATGACAAATTGAATTAGTAAAAAGTCTAAAATATAGAATATTTTATAAATATAGTTTTATTACTTGGAAATACATACAAAAATTCAAACACAGCTAAAAAACAGTTGCCAAACAGAGGTCCTATCCAACCTCTTTTAATGAACACATAAACGGTTATAATCAGCATAAAACCATTTAAGTCCTGAAACAACTGTCTTCAGGGTCTTTAAATATTGGGCTTAAAAATTGATTAATTACTGTTTTATTTTTACCACCTACTTAAATCTTTTCCCCAAGTACAGATTACTAACATTTCAGTTTGGTTTGTGAGATGTTTTATCTAGAAAAATAGCTAAAGCCATTAACTCTAGTTATTTTGAAAACTGGAATATTGAGAGTTCCCTTCCAGTCTTCTGTCACCTTACATTCCTCAGGATTTCCAGTAGTTGCTAACAGCACTTAGAACTTCCAGCAGCTCTTTGGGATACCGCAGTTTCGTCCAAAGAGCCCTAAAATGATTTAATGTGGCAAGATTGTTTTTACTTCTCACTTTTGCTTTTTTGTTTAATGTTAACTTCATTTTAGCCCCGCTAGATTAGGTCTTCTTGTCAGGGAAAAAAATAAAAGTTGAGTTCTACTTTTCTTAATTGTTTTTTTTTTTTGTGTGTGTGTTTGTTTGTTTTTTTCTAGAAGAGAAAGGGATGACCAGGGGTTTTCTTAATTGTTAATCCGTTACACTCCTTCATCTATTTTTTTACCCTCAGGTTTTTCTATTTTTTTTAATGCCTTCTTGGCAACTTTAGCACTTTCTGCAAGGTTAAGCTCATTGAGCTTTAGTATTTCAACAGTTTTATATTTCACTCTCTTTTTTGGCCCTTATCTTGCCAGTTTTTCCTTTGTCTGTACATGATCTTTGACAACTTCATCATGGAGCTTGATGAGATGCTTTAGATGCCTATTCTCTAGCTTCTTCTCCAGGTTCATTTAACTGTTTAAAACTTGTTTAGAATTTCATCTAAAGAAGTTTTCATCCTTTTATGGTCCCCCTCACTACTAGACCAATTTTTGAAAAACTTGAAAAGGCTGGCAAGCGGAGGGACTGCTTCTAGGTTGGGTTTTGCAGCTCAACTGTTCTTCAGTCTTTTTTTTTTTTTTTTTTTTTTTTTTACTGTTCTTCAGTCTTGCAGTCTCTCTCTCTTCACAGCTGAGGAGCCTGAAGTCCAAAGTAGACTGGATAAATGAGAAGACTTACATCTGTGACATTCTCTGGTGCATGGTTCAGAGGGAAGAAGTCTGAATTGTGAGTCTGAGGTTCCTGGACATTCTCTCTGTACGTCCAGCTGGTGACAAATCCCTATGGAATCTGCAGCTTTGTTATGTTGTATCTGTTCCTCTCCATTTCTTAGTTCTGACCATTCTCTCTCGGGTGCTGGACCTATTTTATCATATCTAGACCTGCTGCCAGAGTATTCTTTCTCAAACTTAAATATGAACATACTTCCTGGCTTAAAAATCTGTAAGTGGATCTCTGCTGCCCCTAAGACACGGTACAGACCTATTAGCTTGGCATTCAAGGCCTGCAGTCAGCTCCCATTCTTTCTCTAACTTCCTTTCCTTTCTCATTTTCTTAGCCGCAGGCCTTCTGCTCACTCCACCCTCACTAGCCCTATAGCAAAAACTTATTTTCTCTAATACATTTTGGTGTTTTGCACTTGAGCTTTTTTTTTCTTTTATAAAACTGGGCTCCCAGTCCTGCTGAGCACATAGCCCTTGAGGGGTACAGAAATTACCCACAATATCACTTTGCATCTCACTCATTCAGTAAACATTTGAGTCCCACTATGCATAAAAGCTAAATAATGCAGCCTCAAATCCATTTTAGCAGCCATTCAGTTATCTTCGATCACATTGAACATATGTTCCTTGAGGCCTTTTTCATAATAACTACTCTCAAGTCAGCTCTCTGCAATCCAATATTTGAGTGTTATCTTTTGTTTATAATATTTTAAAAGCCAATTACAGTATTATAAATTTATTCCAGTTAATTGCAAATGCTGCTTTTGCTGTTGTGTGCTGTCTTGTTGAAGGTTTATGAATTTTCATTCTAACTGCCTCAGATTTGGTCCATCCTCTGACCTGAAGACTACAACTTGGATTTCAGAGTTATTGATTAAAAGCAATGAGTTAAACAGAACTAAAACCCAACCTTGAGGAAGCTCTGTCCTGCTTTTCTAATTAACAGTCTGGTAAGATATATTAAACATGCCCCTTATCACCTTATTAACATTTATTATTCTGAATGAAATGATGGGTAAGTCATGCATAACTAAGAACTCTAAGCTGATTTTTTTAAAATAACAATCATTAAATATGCATTATAAATATTCACTTTATTTTAAAAGAAGTGGAAGATGTTACATATATTACACACTACATATAATGGCACATGTCAGCCTTTTAAGCTTAAAAATAATCTTTCCCCAAACTGGGATTGACTTAGACTCCAAGTATAAAATGACTCTTGGCCTATAGCACCAACCCAGGCCCAGAGGAAAGCCAATTTTGAACCTGTCTGTCCTCTGGCATTGGGCTTCCTGATATGACACTGAGGGTCCTCTCCCTCTGGTTTTGTTCCCTGGCAGTATTGAGGCCTGGCACAGGGACCCATTTGACTATACACTGCAGGCCTGGGAAATCAGGGAATCTAGAGGGGGTAGGGTCCTCTAACAATTTTACAATGGAAAAAAATTAAGAACGTTATGTGCCTTACTGTCGTTGATCTATACAACTATAACAAGACTCTACAAGATAGAAGAAGATTAGAATTAATGAAATACAATTTCTCTGCTGGTTTTTGTCTTTGGAAATTAATGTGTCATGATAGGAGGAGCCTTAAAAGTCATCTGGTTCAATACTGGTAACCTCCACTAGTATCTCAAATTTAGGTTTAATTCAAAGTTTTAAATGCCATCCATATGCCATTTTGTTAGACAAACACATAGAAATTTAATAACACTTTTCATTTTCTTTTTAATTCATAAGGACAATTCCTGCCAAATGTTCTGGCTTATGGCTCTCCTCCTCTTCATAGTATGTTTAAGTTACATATTAAGAATCCAAAAAATACCACTATGGAATTTTCATAAGCAATATCCGACCAATCAGTAAAACACAGTACACAGTGTGAAAATTTTAATTTATTCCCCTCCCAAGTATCCAGAATATATACCCTCTTAACTTTGAGAAATGTGACAATGAAAATACCAACAAGATTGATTGGTTGTATATAAAGAAAAGCACATACTACACAGGAGACACCCCTAAGTCCTCCCTAACCTAGTAGTGCAAGTTAATGGTATGTTTCTGGCAATGTCACCTTTCACTTGATTTATAAAAATTTTACAGGACAGATTTAAAGCAAAGATAGGCCTCTGATTTTTATTTTTATTTTTTTTATCCCTAACAGGTTTTTAAAAAGAGGCTATATTAAATGACAATGCATTTTGAGTCAGGGGGAGGAAAAACAAATTAAAAACCCAAAACTTCTTTCAGTTTATTCAAAATAAAAATACACATAGAATTATGAAAATATAGGTTTACTATTTCCACCACGTAAGTTGATGCTGCTGTTTGAAAGGCTTGCAAATTGTTTTTCAAGTTTTTAAAGCTCATCTCGATCCCTCAATAAAGTATACCTATATTCGCTGGGTGCTAATTTCTGGAAGGAGCTCTCAGGTGGACTGCTTGCTACATCTTGGACTTGCTACAAAAGAAAGAATAAAACATTTTATATTAATATATTTTATGGAGTTACACTGTTTTAATAAGTATCAGAGGAATGGTAGTTTTGTAATTATTTGCTTAATAAAGATGGTGTGACAAACACCAGAGTTAAGTTTGAAATCTTGCTTTCCCCATTCAGTTGCCCTTACTAAATATTCTCCAGGGCAAGGTTGCCACAAAGCCCTTACCTACGGACCTGTGGACAGCTCCTGAGGTGTAGTGGAAGCAACAAAATACCTGACACCTAAGTGCTTTCCTAGACTCTTTTGTAGAGGTAGCACAACTGTGATTAATTTGGTCCAAACTCTTAAAAACTGACTACAAAGAGGATTAAAGGCACCAACTCTGTAAATAGAGCTTTCATTTAGCAATTACCTGGATACCAGAAATTGGTTGACATAAGGAGGAAAATAAACATTTCCATACTGCAAGAAATTAATTTCTGTAGTATTTTACTTGTGCACCAACGGTAGACAAAAATACATAGCAGAACTCTGAGAGTGACTTCTAAGAATTTCAAAGAAAAGTGATAAGTAGTCAGTCTCTCCTTTATCTCCACACTGTGAGCAACTCAAGAACAAACATGTTGTCATTGTTTTAATATCCCCCAGTTAACATAGGCACATAGTACCTGTGGTACATACCACGGACACTGGCTCATTCCCATTATAATGAAAAAGCAGAATCTGCACATTTCCATTTTATTTTTTCATGTTCCCCTTCCCCAATACATTTTTTATTTGTATTTTTACTGAGATATATGTTTGGTTTAAGCCATAATTATTTTGCTATAAAATATAAGAAACTCATTGTCTAATGGAGAAGTTGAAGTAAATTAGGATAATAATGGTAAGTAACATCTTTTCCTAACCTGATAAAATATTAAGCAGGCCTACTTTCCTAAAGGAAATAATCGCCTCTAGGTTATTGCCAACAAACTGCTTCTATAGCTGCCTAATTATCAAAGAAAAACCTGACCTCAGACTTCAGGAAAAGCATGTCACTGGATTCTAAAAGGGAACTCTCAACAATGAACTTAATTGGACTCTTCAGGAAAAACTGACTTAGCTTTTATTTTTTTTTTCCTTATTATTATTTTTTTATTTATGATAGTCACACAGAGAGAGAGAGAGAGAGAGGCAGAGACACAGGCAGAGGGATAAGCAGGTTCCATGCACCAGGAGCCCGACGTGGGATTCGATCCCGGGTCTCCAGGATCACGCCCTGGGCCAAAGGCAGGCGCCAAACCACTGCGCCACCCAGGGATCCCCTTAGCTTTTATTTTAATATGTGGAGGTTCTTTGGGCAAAACAGTGAAGTTCTGGGCATATGGACATAAGTTTTGTTACATATCATCTTCCCTCTTAGTATACTGGTAATAGACATGATCTAATTCAGTGCATCAAAATGCAACATTTAGGGGTGTTTAACAAAGCAGGAACATGGAAATTATTTGTAACAGAAGTTACAAAGTAGAACTAGTCAAATTTTTAGGCTAAAATTTACATAAAAAGCAAGAACAAAAATTTCATATAAATAGTTGTGAGGCATTCTACATCTCAAATGAAAAGCTGCATTAAACCTTAAGTTTTTTTTTATATTTGAAACATTTATTTTTTATTATTTTTTAATAATAAATTTATTTTTTATTGGTGTTCAATTTGCCAACATTAAAAAAAAAAAAAAAAACTTTAAGTTTTGAGCACCGGTGAAGGTGCTTAGGATGGTTTAGCAAGAATAACGAATCATTATTTTCTTTATAGTGTGGTCAATCTGGCCCTAAGGAAGACTTGACCAGTTAATGGAATCCATTGACTTCTTCACTGATTTATGTACTTCTAGTTCTTACCTCTTGCTTCTGTATTTGGAGCCAACTGTATTTAATCCTTTTACCCAAATTCCACAGAGGATATATACCACATCAGTTTATGTGATCAAGAAATTATACTGTATCATTCTTGCAACTTTTCTGAAGTTACATAATTTTAAAAATTAATTTTAAAAGGAACATAATTTATTATCTTGAGTATATTCAGAATTTCATTATAAAGATCTTTAGAAGCAGAAACTCAAGCTTGTATAAGAGCTTTAGATCCTCTTCAAAGCTAACTGAAAAAGAGTTCCCACTGAAAAACAAAAGAGTCCTACCTGTCCTGGGGCTATATCAGTTGGGTCAGGACCATGATGGAATTCTCTGTGCAGTTTCCCAGAATGTAAGTCAAATACGAATTGCTTTAGCTTTCCAGGAATTCTGAAATAAAAGTAAAATAAAAATTTAGCTTAAACTGTTAAAATGGACTTACCTCTATTTTACCAGCTTCACACATTAAAATTTTTTTCTTTAAATTTTACCTACAATCCTACCATACCTATGCAAACATTTTTATACAGTTGTAATCATGAAATGTATATGTTCAGTTTTGTGTTCTAATTCTTGCACTTGTTTCAGAAATTTTTCTATGCTTATTTTCTAAGCTTATTTAATATTTAAGATGCATTAGAATCTATCAAGATGTTGTCCTAAAACTTACTTAACCATCCCTAATTGTTGGGCATTTATATTTTTTCCTTAAAATATATATATATATATATATATATATATATATATATATATATATATATATATATATAACTTTAACATAACTTAAATAACATATATATGAAATGTGTATAAAATTATATTTTTCCTTAAAATATATGTAACTTAAAAATTCATACATAACTTAAAATAACGTATATATAATATATAAATATAAAACTTAAAAACCTCATGTTCTGCACAATCACACTAAAAATAACAGGGCTCAAGAGAAAAATGGCATTAGGGGCTAACCACTTGAAACTAAGTAACTTTACAACCAGAGTACTATGAAGAGCCTAGAACAAAACTACTAGTACTGTTTAGCCTCTACCACTGTGTTAGCCAGGTGATCCTCTGTAGCCTTAATCTGGAGCAAATAGGTCCTTTCTCAAGATATAAACTGAGGTCCTTGAGGGCATTCACTGCCAGTGGAACCAATTTTACCAAAATAGTTTAAACCAGGGTGTAGTTTTTCTATAGTTTTGGGTTTTTTTTGTTTTGTTTTGTTTTGTTTTTTAAGCAAAAGGGAAAATCTCACAACTTCTTCAACTATATGGGTAGCTCCACGGGATAGCTTAACATTGTGAAAAGGAAAGTATTTCTCAAGGCCATGAAACTGTCCCTCCTTTTTAGGTTGGAAGAGGTCTTCAGACACCACTAAAGCATTTTCTTTTTTAAAAAAATATTTTAGAGAAAGGATGCACACACGTGAGTAGAGGATGCGGCAGAGGGAGAGAAGCAGCCTCCTCACTGAGCACAGAGCACCACTGTGGAGCTTGATCTCAGGACCCCAAGATGATGACCCAAAGCCGAAAACAAGTCACTGAATCAACTGAACCACCCAAGCGCCCCTAAATTCTGTTTAGTGGTGAAAAAACTTTTCTTTGATAGCTTCAAAACATTCTGAGGAAAATAATATGAACACCATTCATTTATATTCACATTATTCCTCTAATTACCAGTCACACTATGAGCAAACTTGCAGCACAGAGACATGCCTTATAGCAAAAAAGACTAAAGCATATCCACCTATCAGCCTTTTTTCTTTGTAATTATTTCCTTGAGTTGTATCCAATAAAGAATATAGATCTTTCTCAACTTATAAGGGGGATACAGCCCAATAACCCTATCCTACATTGAAAAATCTTAAATGGAAAATACATTTAATATACCCAGCCTACCCTAAAATGTGTTCAGAACACTTAAAATACCCTACTTGAGCAAAATCATCTAACACAAAGCCCATTTTATAATAAAGTATTTAATATCATGTAATTTGTTGAATCCTGTACTAAAAGTGATAAACAATGGTTGCATGGGTATATTAAGTGTGTCAGTTGTTGATGCCTGGGACCATGAGGCTTACTGGGAGCTGTGGCTCACTGCTCACCACCAGCAAAGAGAGTATCTTAGTGCACATCACTAGCCTGGGAAAAGAACAAAATTCAAAGTACTAACTGTGTATTGCTTTTGCACCACCATCAAGCAAAAACATTTTAAATCAAACTATCATAAGTTGAGGAGAAATCTGTTGAGTAAATAACTTTTGACGAAGTGTGGGCAAGTTACACCTACAAAACATTAGTTTTTGCTGGTACTTGTCTACCTGTTCTTTGAAGTCTTGCCAACATGTTTCTTTTGTATTAAAGTTTGTTTTACTATGACAAATAAAAAGACACCTGCATTTTAATTTCAATTTCTTCAGAAATTAAGCATTTTTCCACAATTTTTATATTTCTGCTTATATGAATTGTCAGTCTTCTACTGAAGTCTTGAAATTTTGAAAATGCATTATATATTTTAATTAGAAACCTTTCCTCGTATCTCTTAACAAGAATTAAAATGCAAGTCCATAAACACTTGACTTTGGTAGAACTGCCTCACTTTTTAAATCATCCTTTTTTGGGAGCAAAGAATAAGCTGGCTTGTGTTAATACTCCTAGTTTCTTTTTATCCTCTCCTGAGGTCCTGCAAGTGCTGTTTCTTCCCTTCAATAATTCCCGCTGAGATGTACCAACCAATAACTTCATTGTACACCCATTTTGGCTCCCCACTAGCTCCAATGCAAGAGACCAGCAGGTGCCAAATGCACAGTTTACAAATACAAATGACTGTCAGGTAGCTGTATTGACAGAATGCCTCTGAAAGGTTCTCTGGTGCTGAAGAAACTGCACATGCACTAAAGATAAACACTCAGAGGAGATCAATTTAAATTTAATATGACATCATCTACTGTCACCCAAGCAAAGTGCTACAATATTTCCATTCAAATCAAAGAATGGTCTCTAATATTTAAGATAAAGGCTCTGTTAAGTTTATTATTTTATAAAGTCCAAAGACAATCCCAATCAACAGTGTAACCTGCGTTTGCTAGTCAAAAAATAATTCATGATTAAATCTTAAATGTAACAAATTCATAGCGAACACTCAAAACAGATTTTTTCCTAACTTGATTCTTTCCCCTTGTCAACAGATGAGAGAATTGTAGCAAAAGGCAAAGGGAGATAGAATGAATCGGAATTGATGGGTAGAAAAACAGATTATAAAAGAGCTCTTATGTAGCTTGTGGCCAGAAACTATCCATCATTATTAAGTAGCAATCAGTGAATCACAGTATATTGTCAAGAAAACAGACAACATGGTTATGTGTTAAAAAGGAAAATAAATGGATCCTTGCCATTATAAATTCAATTATATTTTCATACTTTAGGGTATAGTTCTTCTAATTAGAACATCTAAGTGTTTCTTTCCTACCTTTCAAACACTTTTCTGTTTGTTTTCAATTTTTATTTTCAGGTGATGCAAAATTTAGGGACAATGAAATGCACAAAGGTTAAGTATCATTAAATGAACTTTGACATATGTATCACAGTGAGAAGCATTTTTATTTTTAAAAATTTACACACAGTGGAATTTACTCTTCCAGGCTTATAGTTCTGTGTTTTAACATATGCATATAACATCTAGTTACTATATCCACAAATAGGATACATTAACTATTCTAACACCCTTTTTTTTTTTTTTTGGTAAGACCCTCTACTTCCCCCTAACTCCTGCCAACCACTGATCTGTTCTCTCTTCCTATAATCTGCCTTTTCCAAAATGACTTGTACTTGGAATCATACAGCATGTAACCATGGGACTGACTGACTTCTTTTATTTAGCATACTGCTTTTGAGATTCATCCATTCTGTTGCATGTGTAACTCTTTTCCTTTATTTATTGAATAGCATTCCATTGAGTGGATATACCACAATTAGTTTATCCTTTCACCCTCTGAAGAGTATTTGGGTTCTTTCAAGATTTTGGTAATCCTGAACAATGCTACCACAAACTTTTGTACACAAGTTTTTGTGTGAACGTTAAGTTCATTTCTCTAGGAAAAATACTAGCTTATATGGAAGGTAAAATACTAGCTTATATGGAAGTATAAAATACTAGCTTATATGGAAGGTTTTTAAAAAACCTGCCAAATTGTTTAGAGCGGCTGTATCATTTTGCAACCCCACCAGCAATGTATAAGAGATCCAGCTGCTCCGTAGTCTCACTTGGTAGTTTAAGTACTTAAATTTAGCCATTCTAAAAAATGTATAATAGGATCTCACTGTGGTTTTAATTTGCATTTCTCTAATGTCTAATGATGTTGAGTACCTCTTCATGTGCTTATTTGCCATTTGTATATCTTCTTTGCATTCTAACAGTATCTTTAATGGAGCAAAAGTTTTTAATTTGTAGAAAGCCAATTATCAATTTTTTCTTTTATGGATAGTCCTTTGGGCATACCAAGAGCTCAGGTCAGAAAGAGTTTCTAATTTACTTCTAAGAATTTTACAGTTTTACCTTTCACATTTAGGTCTACAATCAATTCAGAATTAATTTTTTATAGGAGTTGTTTCTTTTATGGTATAAAGATGTTAAGGTGGTACAGCGTCATTTATTGAAAAGATTATCTCCCTCCGTTGAATTGTCTTTACATCTTTAAAAAAAAAATCACTATTGTTTGCCATTTCTAGATTCTCTATTCTTTTCCACAGCAACCTGTACCTATTTTTTTCACTGATATTACGCTATCATAAATATTTTAGCTTGTATTGTAGGTCTTAAAATCGGGTATTATGAGTCTTTTGTTTCTTTTTCAATTGTTTTGTTTCTATTATTCTAGTTTTACCTCTCCATATAAATTTTAGAATCAGTTATATCTACAAAAAATCTTAGATTTTGACTGAAATTGCATTAAATCTATAAACTTGAGTAACATCAACATTAACAGTATCAAGTCTTCTAATCCATGAACACAGTATGTTTCTCCATTTATTTTTGTCATCTTTGATTTCTTTCATTGGTGTTTTGCAGTTTTCTGTTAGATGTATACATAGTTGTTTTTTTTCTTTTGGAGCCTATTATGAATGGCAGTTTAAACGTTTTTGGGTTTCCAAATGTTCATTGTTAATATATAGAAATAAAAGTGACTTTTTAAAAGATGACCTTCTATCTTGCTGAAATCACTAATTAGCTGTAGGAGCTTTCTTGCAAATTTATTAGGCATTTCTACATACACAACCATGTTGTCTACAAAGAAAGTTTCTTTCTAGTCCAAACACTTTTTTTGGTTACTTTTTTGTCCTATGATACTTGCTTGGACTTCGAGTATCGTACTAAAATACAACTGG